AAAAAAAAAAAAGAAAGAAAAAAAGCCAAACGCGTAAATTTGTAATTTTTCAAAATTCCAATTGACTATTCCTTTTAGTTTCCACAACTCCCATTAGCCTTTCCCATTTCATTTCCAACTCCCATCCATTTCCAATCGTTAATGGTGTTACATACGTCGCTCCAATACAGGTGTAAGAAGTATGGCGACATCCACCTTGAGAGTAGCAATAATGCTGAAACAAACTGAAAAGGTGAAAACTGAAATGAGTTACGAAAAAAAATAAATAAATAAAACGCTGCGACTTAGGCATTGTCCCTAGTCTCCCACGCAGCCGCTTTCAGTGTCGTCACGCAACGCTTTCTCCCCTGAAAACGAAAACTTCCTATGCGCTTTAGACTTGCGTCCACAATAAAACGGTCAAACGCCTACATTTGAAATTTAAAATATATTCGAAAACTGAGGCTTAGTGTGGACAGGCGAAAATGGAGGTTTTTGAAAACGCTGACGTCATCCACATTGGTACGTCTTTTTTCCGCATGCGCAGATGAAGATATTGAATCATTTAACTATGAATCGTATTTGCGTTTTTGATCGTTTTAGTGTCGACGCTACGAAAACGCTAGTGCGAACGCGAAGCTTAGACGTGAATAGTGTACAGGAATTGGAGCGAATGCGGTTTTGCGTAACATTTCCTGCAAATTCAAAGTAGCTCCTTAGTACGAGCCATCGGGGAAAAAAAATTTAGTCGCCAAAGGATTTTGAACTCTATTACTCCGCTTGGAATGAATTAAAGTTCCTTAACATTTCATACTGGTTCATTAAAGGAAAATCCAGTTACATGGCCATACAGTACTAATGTAATACTGGTTCATAGAAGGAAAATCCAGTTGCATGGCCATGCAGTAGGTTGACCGTTCATTACCTTTCCATCTGAAACTGAGTCATCCCAGGTCTGATACGCCTCATCAACTACAAMACAACAAAGACTGTTATTACAGAATGTTGCTCATTTACTCAGACAGTGGTATACTTATGCTGATAAATGGATGACCCACTCAAGTGAGAATAACTTATACACTATTCAAAATAAAATTATATGATAGTGATGGTAATGATAATAATGTTGCTTCCGGTTCTGATGATGGTGATGATAATGATGACATGGTATGTGCAAGATTACACAAAAGTAATTCCAGGTTTTTAAGCAGTGTATTTTAGGTATAAAACCCTACTTTCCAAGGGGAGTGCAAACATTTAAAGCAGTTTTGTAGCCTAGGGATGTCTGAGACATACCAGTGCAGAGGTCTTTAATTAATTCAAACTATTGTACTGAGTAAAGTATATCGCATATACTCACCTCCTTGTGTGCCTCGCTGCTGACTCTGCACACGTAACGTAAAACTTCCAGTTCTTGTGGAGTTTTGAACACACGGCTGAAAAATAAGGTAGCTCGCAGTTAATAGGTAATTCAAGGGACGTTCTATCGATGCAAAGTGTTTACTCACCATTCTACTATTATAGRATGAAGAAGGGTATTGTTGACCTTGAACCTGCAATGAAAACAGAAGCTGGATGTTATGGACCTTCCTCGACTGACCAGTTGGCTGATCACTGTAAAGTAATGTTGCTTCGTTTGATCCACATCWGTTGGTTAACCATTTTTGATTGACACTAATTCCAGGTTTCTTTGTTATGTACACTCTATGATAATGATGAGAAGCATGTTCATTGTTAATGTGCTTCATTTCACCAATGTAGATTTTGAATCCAGAGCCCAGTGTCATATGTGAGTAGAGCTGCTTGTTCTTTTTCTGCTGTGCTACAAGCTTAGGGCTTTTTCTGGTTCTCCAGTGATATTGAAAATGATAGCAATGATGAGGATGGCAAAGGTGTAGTGATAAATTGTGATAAATCCACACTGTACATTAAGGTGTCAGAAAGTGATCAGCCAGTCATCTACCAACACCATACAGTCCACATACGAACCACCTACAAACACCTTACCATTTATGAATCAATGTAACCACATAACTGACACCTTACCAACCACTTACCGACACAGGCATATGGTGCAGATTGATCCAAATAACCAAAATGATGATGATGGATATAGGATGATTATGGCAATGATAGTGATCCCAATGGCAGTGATGGTGGCAATGATAATGATGGTGGTGATCCCAATGGCAATGATGGTGGCAATGATAATGATGGTGGTGATCCCAATGGCAATGATGATGGCAATGATAATGATGGTGGTGATCCCAATGGCAGTGATGATGGCAATGATAATGATGGTGGTGATCCCAATGGCAATGATGATGGCAATGATAATGATGGTGGTGATCCCAATGACAGTGATGATGGCAATGATAATGATGGTGGTGATCCCAATGGCAATGATGATGGCAATGATAATGATGGTGGTAATCCCAATGACAGTGATGGTGGCAATGATAATGATGACTGTTGTGAAGACTACTGTACTTCATGATGATGGCAATTTTTAATAAGAGTAGCCTGCGTTGCTTCTCTTGCCACAACAGACACTCAAGCAATGCAGGCAACAATAGACCAGTTTTCAGTTCCAAATTACCATTGTGTTCCTTGATTACAGACTCATTTATTCAGGGTTAGCCTTATATCAGTGTCTAAATATTCACGAATACCAATGGTAAAGTAAAGAATGCACAACTTTAACAATTGATACAAACACTTTGAAATTCCACCRACCTTTGCTGRAATATATGAATATTCTTCACAACATCGAGGCTAACYCTGAGCAACATAGAACTCAAAACTGGAGCATTATAATGATGGCTACCAAAAGCCTCTAGCTGTATGTACACTTACTTGCTTATTCCATCAAAGGCAGCCTCTCTACAAATGCTGCCAGAATCAGTGTTTAATCCTCTCTAAAAAATACCAATGATAATCAATCTTAAAAATCAAAAGAACAATTAGTTCATTCTTATTGAAATAATATGCCTGCTGTAGTCATGCTCATATTGTCATTGAAACCATGAGCACACACTGTACACTGAGATATAAGTCCCAGTAAATGCTGAATTGACAGCATACAGTTATCTTTATTATAAAATATATCTTATTACCACCAGCATTTTCTATACTTACCAGAGTTAGGAGAAGAGAAGGCTTTTTTCTCTCAAGTACTTCAGCAATCTGTAATCAGGATAAAGCAAAACCCATGCTGAAGATGCACATCCTTGTGAACCCAGAGGTAAAATTCTGTCCCTCGTTTCTTGTTACCAAAAAAAACTCACTGGGCACGAAGTCTGTTAGAGCTTGTTCTGGAAGTTYGAATTAATCTCTTTCCTGGTTGGCTGACCCACTGTCAACCAATAAGTATCAAGTACAGTATACATAAACGAATATGTGATAGCACTTTTTTGAATTGGGACTTCCGCAAAAAGCTCTAACAGACTTCATGCCTAGGGTTATTTTTTCTGGGAGGATGGAGGATACAGGGAATCTCTAGTTTCTTAAGTTAGTGTAAAGTAATGAGGTCTATCACTAGTACCCCTGCATAGGGTACTAATCCATCACTGGCTACTCCCCTTTTCCAAATACATTTTTTCAGGCTACCCAACACTACCCAAAAATTTTGCTGCTAGCCTTTTTATATACAAGTGGGAGAAGAAGAGTACTCCAAGTGCTGTGAGAATACAGCGCCCAGGGCCAAATTCTCAAACCCCTAGGCATTAAGCCGAAAGCACTAGACAATGCTAGTTGTATGAGGATGGATGGTGTTATCTGACAGATAAATTCTTATCCAGTGGATAAGTTGATGCTGTTATCCAATAAATTTATCCACTGGATAAGATTTATCCATCTGATAACTTGCTATCCATCCTTGAGTTGGGCTCCATGTGATACTATCATGATGAGCCAATATGTTAATAGCAGTTTTGTCATTACAGTACAAAGTTGAATAGTAAATCATTTMTTGGTGTTCCTCCCCATTTTTGCCTTAAAAATAATTAAAGCTGTCAGAGTATCTCTCATGAGAGTCTTGCCAAAGTCAAGACTAACCTCATTTGTATAGCACACTTCATCTACATCAYATTTTTTCTGGTAGTGCTCTTTTGGGTAGATTCTGAAAAACATTGAAATTATTGATCAATGTTCTAAATCATCAACGACGTCATTTTTAGGACTGTTCATTAAAAAAGGAGGCACACTGCTTCTCCCTCATCCCTGGGGTATTGGGTTTGATTCCTAGACTCGCCATCACAAGTGAGTGCAGTTTGTTATTGAATCTCTCTTGCATGCATGCTTTCTAGTTTTCTTTTCTGTGTAAAATCTAAAAAGCTAAATTCTTATTCCATATATAAATTAGCTGTGCCCTGGCTCTGAACAACTTAGAAGTTGTTCCAGGGTTTAATGATAAAATATTTGTAGATTACTTCTTTATTCACTGCAAAATCAATATTCAAAGATGTCTACAAACACATACTCTCCCATCCAGATGGCATATTCCTGAGGTAGTTCAGGAACAAACAATATAGATTTGCCAGTGTCGACTTCAACTGCACCAAGGCAGTCAGCCTCCAAGCAACCAAACGTCCAATGAAAAAATGATTCCTGAAAACAAGACAGGCCAGGCATAGAGTAAGGGTCAATGTGGTTAGTTAAGAACAATGTAAAATGAGACAGGAAGGGTAGTGTTAAACCACCGATTTATACTAGTTTTCTAATGGTTTTGAGTACTACGTACAGTACACCATTAGAATTCCCTGGACAAGGCAGTCATGCTTTTTTTTCTCATTCCAAGGTTGAATGAAAGACTGGGTTAAGTTTGTATTGCTGTGCATTGTGTGGCATTGTGATGAAATACATGTAATAGCATCTTGGAAATATGTCCTCAAACAGTCCCACAATGCATGGTTATCCCAACTGCACCCAGTCATTTCCTCAACCTCGAGAACAGCTAAAATGCATATACAAGCCTTCAGGCAAAGGAACATACAAAGAATAGAATGCAAATAATATACCCGTGAAATAGATAGCTAGCTAACTAATTACTAACCTTTGGTTGCCTAAGTCTAATTAGTTAAAATAGGCCAGCCGTGACAGGTAAACTAGTGGACATGTGCTACTCAAGGGGGCGCATTTTAAAATATTTTTAAACACACTTACAAAAACTAAAACAATTTTTTGTTGTACATGCTTTTCCTTCGTATAATTTGACATGTTCACATTTTGGTATCTATTCATTTGTGTATTGAGTTGTCACTCTTGTAAATGCCCATGCCCTTGTCATGCCTCACTGAATTCCTCTGCGTTGTGTTGCTAAAAGACTCGCAACTCACAAAATATTCACTGATAATCACTTCACCTTCAGTGAACAATTGTTAAATAATAGGAAAGGATTATGTTTATATGAAATATATACATATTGGAGTCATTGTGTAGTTCCAAAAGTTATCCATACCCGCCTCACGGAGGTATTTTCTTTAAGACACCCCCTACCCCCARGAAATTCCAATTTTCTTCCATACACACTCTATAATTTTTGTTCTTTCTCTGACCCCCCTACTCTTTGGAAATTTCAAATTCCTCTGTGGGGTGGGTATGGATGATTTCTGGAACTACACATTAAAAACTGTTTTATGTAAACACTACAGTACGTATCAGTTTCTATTTTTATCCATATTTTCATTCCCTACCTGTCTGAACACTACATCAGTATCTGTACAGTATCTTTGCTTCTGTTCACCTCCTTGTAGCACAACAAARGCTCCTTTTGGAACCTCTCCATTTTCCTGCAGCTTCTTGCACAGTCGTTTCCTGTTGGTAGCAAACATGCTCATCGACACGGACAGAGTATGGTCGGCCAACTTAAAAACACTGGGGGAAAAGAAAGAAAACAGTAGATTTTTAAAAGTTTTCTCTTAAGAAAACGTCTACGAAATAAAGAATATTAGAAGTAAAATCTATACTATTTTTTTCTTTAAAAAATAGATTCTTAAAACACTAGAATCACGTGAAATCAGTAATCATAAGCTACTCACGGGGTATTCGCAGCCATGTTACTAAGAGAAAATTATTTTAAAATGCAGGAAACAGTTAGATTGCCGAATAAATGTGTTGAGGACTAGCCAAGGTATCTGATAACTCTGTGGTGCAAAAATCAGCGAAACAAATGAAGTAGAATGTGTGTATTTTACACGTAGACTTGCAGCTCAGCATGTACCATTCACCACTCAGTCTTTTATGTGAAGAATAGAACAAAAATAGTTCTACGCTAGGCATCATGGGAAAATTGTCACGTTTGAACGTCACGCAGGTAAGTTATTTCTTATTGAAATAAATTACCAAAAATAAACTGAGCTGCAATATAAAAAAACAACTAATCTTTTTAGTAAAAGAATTTTTAAAAAGTCGGATTTTTTTAAAATGAGAAATAGTCGAAATAGTAGATAGTCAAGTTTTATTATTGCGTTACTTCCGGTAACGTAAGTTCAAATGGGTCAGGGAGCCTGGCCCGGAGAACGAAGTTTGACCGAATGGAGAACGAAAATCATGGCGTCTTCGAKAATACTTGAGATTTTATAGCCTTCCATAGCGCTAGAAAACTTTAATTAATTTAAGTATATAATGGCTGACGACCTAGATGACTTACTCGATGAAGTCGAGTCCAAGTTCTGTAAARATTCCCCAACAAAAAAGCCCGGCAAAATAAAGACTGTTCAACCAAGTGCGAAAAAAATGGACTCCAAGCAACAACCTTCGACTTCAAGGTATTCAGTAAAACATAACGAAAACATTTAAACTTATTATAAGTTGGTTTGAGTTTATTTGGTTTAATTTTTTCCAGAGTCGGGAAATCAAGGAAAGAGGGAGATGATTTAAACGATATCATACGAGACATTTGTGCAGATGATGGGCCCGACCTCAGTCTTACTACGGTAACATCTAAAAACAATTCTTTCAATTCAATTTAAAATACATTTATAACATTTACATAATATTTAGTATGATATTTGAAGAGTTTTAATCCCTAAAAGATGAGTAAGACTTAAACTACATTAAAAATCAAATTTGCGAACATGGTTGCTATGTCAACCATGTCATTAATAATTTAAGCTAAGGCATGTTATTTACCTTTTTGTTTGATAGCTGTCAAAAGTCTTAGATATATCAGTAAATCTTTATTCAGGATTATAAGATAATAGTTCAATCTTGAATTGATAATAAGCAGCTTAAGTATGTTATGATATTGGCAAAAAATTAAAGAAAGAGTAAAGTGAAAAAAGGAACAGAAAAAAGAAAACTTAAAGCACATTTTTCTGGCTTGAGCCTCTTTGATTAAAAAAAAGGGCCTTTCTCTTACCAAAGGATCATGAATTGAATATATGAACATATCCGACAATGTGTATTCCCAGAAATTATTCATACCGCCCCCACAAAGGAATTTTTTTCAGCCCCACCCCCCTACCCCCAGAAATTCCAATTTTCATCCATACAAACTCTGTAATTTTGTTCTTTTTCTGACCCCCCTACACCTCAGAAATTCCAAATTCCTCTGTGGAGGGGGGAGGGGTATGGATAATTTCTGGAACTGGAGTGCACATTGGATATAGACCATGTATTCTTTAAAATTGAAAACATATGTTTTCGTAATGCAATATAAGCCAAAAGGTTTGTAAGTCATTAAGTGGTCCTTGTAAACAGCCATTATTTTGTGACCAGAGAATAATAATATACTTATTTTTTTTWAATTTCCATTCTTTTTTAGCCTCCAGCTGCTTCTAGCTCAAACTCCAATCTAAAAGAAACAAGTGGTCATAAATTCAAGTGTTTTAATCTTATTCTTGGTGGATCACAATGTAGTAAAGGGCTGTGTACTGTATCTGAACAAAGGTTTGTTAGCAAGATGCCTGACTTTTATGTAGTTCCAGAAAATATCCATACCTTCCCCCACAGGAAGGGATCCTTGTTAAACTCTATTCACTAAGGAGCAAAGAGAGTATTTTGGGCTTATAGAATGGAAAAATACTTGCTTTTCTCCATTGTTAAGCCTTGTGGACAAAATTAGAATAAGCAGTGTTCAAACTGAATTTGTTCATTTACTATAAGAAGAATTATTATTTACTATTATTTATTATTTAAAAGTCAATTGCACTGCAGTTATTGATGAGAGCTGTTTAATGAGTAATCATATGGTTTCTTGTTCTGTTTGGAATTAATTTTCACTCGTGTGTTTTTCAAAGAGCTCAAATAGCACTCGTCTTATAGGGCTCGTACTATTTTGAAGCTCTTTGAAAAACACACTCATGCAAATTAATTACAAATTTCACTGGAAACCATATGATTACTTATACAAATCATGCGTCATCCATATTACCCTTGTGAGGGGATAGACTGTCATTGTCATTGTAAGGAGTTATTTCTGGAACTGTACACAATGCCACACATGCTGTAGGGTGGTGCTTTTTTTCCCCAATTTATGAGCATAATTTAGTTCTGCAAGTCAATGTCGAAAAACTAATAAAGCATAATTTTTTGCACTTTCAGGACCTGTGACCAATTACGATGTACTTCTTGTGACTTCAAAGTAGTCATGTTCGACAACTATGAATGGCAGAGGGATTGTGACTATTTATTTTTCAGAAATAATGTACCAGACTTTCAAAAATTAAAAGCCAAGCTGATAACTAGGAGAGGTAATTTATATAAATTCTTTCAGTTAACTTAAGTACTGTTTAATAAATGGCCAGGAAATTAAACCACAGCCAGAAGTGTTTTTATTGGGTTTAAAAGCACGAGGCGTAGCCGTAGCACAAAGCTATCACCTTGTTTATCCACTCATTTACAGACCACTCATTCTTTCATTCATTTATTAATTGCTGTTCATATTTATCCCTTTATTTGACAGATGTCCGTGCTTATGCATGCCAGTGCTCATGGCGTTCAGTGAAAGAAGCAACAGACATTTTGAATGATTCCACACTCAAATGGGTTTGCGGCAAACACAGCTAGGATATAACAAAATAATACAAATATATATATACATCCACCATCGCATAATCATGAAAAAGAAACTGGCATTCTAGTTTATATTTAATTCTAAAATTTTTCTAAGTATAGGGCAA